AGGGCCTGACACACAGGTGCTCGTTATACGTGAGTGAAAACTAGGGTCCTAGAAACTAGGGGGCACAGTAAGGCCCTGTTGTTTCAGCTCCTGGTAGGGTACAAGTGCCAGTTCACGACATCCCCTTCGAATGACAGACTTTCCTATGGGAAGTCAAAAGCCTTCTCAACATCCCAATCGTTCAAAGGAACGTGCGGAGAGCTGCCCGCACTTTGGAATGGAGGGCAGCTGCGAGTCGGAGCTCAGACATGAGCTCTTGGTGTCAGTGCCACCGCGAGACGGCAGCAGCTCTCTAGGCAGCGGGGCACACAGACGGGGCACACGGACGGGGCACACGGACGGGGCACACGGACTGTGTACATGGACGGGCACAGCAGTGAGCACACGGACTGTGCACACAGACAGCCTCTCTGCAGTCCCAGCTCGGGAGCCCACACCCCACGGGAAGCAGCTGGATCGAGGTGGGGACACCGGGGGGCAGGGGCGGGTGTGGGACAAAGTGCCCGGCAGAGGAAGAGGACAGCCACAGAGGCAGGGAAGTGTGAAAGGGGTGATAAGGATTTTTAAAGACGATGGTGAAACTCTTCCAAAAACAAGGGTTAAGGACAGCAAGTCCCCGCAGAGGGTGTCTGGAGGTTGTGCCACCTACACCAGAAACGACAGAAGGGGACAGAAGAAAATGGCCAGCCCCTCCCCCAGGACGAGTCTGGCAATGCTCCTCAGCGGCGGCCACAGTCTCAGGGTCCTGTACCGTCTTCTCTGTCCTCCGGATGTGGCACTGCAGTGGGCAGAGGCCCCCTCCCCAGGCAGGGCGGAGGTCTGGGACCAGGTGGCTGCTGAGTCCAGAGGCCACCTCTCAGCCTCAGGCCAAGCTGCTCTGCCTGCTCGAAGTCAGACAGTAAGACACTGGCCCAGAGCCCACCCAGGTCAGGGAAGGGGGGGACTCACGTGGGCCTTCAGAGCGCGCACAGTCAGTCTGCAAGGACATCACGTGCACGCTTGTGCCCAGCTCCCGTGACTCTGCTCAAGGACCCAAGGGAGCCCCGGGGCTGAGCGCAGGGCCCTGCCCGGATGGATGAACCACCAAACACTGCCTTGAGGGTGCAGAAGCCATGTGACCACAACACAGAGAGAGGACTGAGAGAGAAAGTGTCAGAGAGAGAAAGAGAAGGAAACAGAGGGAACAAGTCAGGAACGGGGGAGATCCCCTCAGCACGCTCATCATCTTGATCCACCAGACAGGACACACAGGTCCTCCTGTCACTGTGAGGACAGATCTGTTCCCCCCAGTCCTGGGGGGCACGACGGCAGCATTGTCCCATTACTCATGACAACAGCCTTCAGGACAGTCACTTCCTGAGCCCTCGTGGGCACCAGGCCTGTCCTGGGCACTCGCTGGGCACTGTGTCACTCGATCCCTAGAAGACACCTCAGAGGCTGTACCAAGGTAAGCCCATTTTACAGACGTGGAAACATTTTGGGGTGGCCAGATCACCTGCCCAGGTTCCAGCTGATTCAGTCACAGGACCAGGACTCGGGCTGGGTCTGGCTGTCTTTGGAGCCGTGTCCCCAGTCACTGGGCTCTGCTATCAGGTTCTATATTAGCACCAGGGCACACTCCCCAAGGAAGCTTTTCCTCCATCTTCGACAAAACACACCCCCCTCCGGACTCTGCTCTCATTTCAAACTTACTCAACAAAGACAAATACTCTTCGGAACTGCCTGGGAAACTGCGTTTCCCCTCTGGCCTCTGCCAGTGCCCAGCGACACTCGTGTGTGTGCCCAGAAGGACCACCCCAAACGCTTTCATCACGCAGGGAGGGAAGCCACCGGCGCCAGGCCGGCTTTCAGCACATTGTCGTCGGTTTGGGCTGCACAGAGTAGAATTCTTTGAATACAAACTTCCTGTCTAAAAATAGAACAGTGGCAAACTCGGCAAGGACACTTCTCCGTTGGAGACATCTGCTTTCCACTCTGCTTCCCGAACGCAGAAGGTCCAGTCCGCTGGTCGGCTCGTGGGTCCCAGCCAAGGCCCAGATGTAGCCCAGTGAACTGGGAACACAGCTGCACAGGCCGGAGGCACGGCGTGGCTTTCCCTGGAGTGCGGTGCGCAGCTTCATCTTCAAATCCATGTGAGCTACTTATTTTGCCTGTCCTCACAGCGCGGGCCCCTGGGCAGGGACGTGCCCGGCTTCGGCCCTAGAACCTCCAAATGATGCTCAGCTGTGGGCCATGGGCTTTCGGTCGTGTTCCTCCTCTTAAACCCACCCCAAACCTTCCCCCTTCCTCTCCTTCCCCTTCTCTGCTCCGCGTCCCCCGGTGCGAGGACACCTGCATTCTCGGATGTGGAGTGTGGGGCTGCCGCGCGACTTGGATTTATCAGGAGGGTCGCACAAAGGCTCCTGGATATGACACACCAATGACTTACTTTCTCAGCTGGTAGTTTCTGTAAGAGAGGATACTGTCTTAAACAGTATACCATAGGAGAAGTACACCATTAACTGGGGTTGCTGAATAATTTTGTTAGGGGCTTTTACATCTAACTCATCAGGGGTCTTTTTTTTTTTTTATCCTCACCCGAGGATATTTTTTTCCATTTTTTGTACAGATAGAGTGGGAGGGAGAGAGAGGAAGGGAGAGAGAGAGAGAAACATCGACGTGAAGGGACACATCGAGTGGCTGCCACCCGCACGACCAACCAGGGCCGGGGACAAACTGCAACCGAAGTACGTGCCCTTAGCGGGAACCGAACCCGGGTCTCTCCGGACCGCAGGCCGATGCTCTAACCGCTGAGCCAAACTGGGCAGGGCTCATCAGGGTTCTTTACCGAACACGTAAACCCACGAGCGAAGGAGGGAATAAATGAGAGAATCATATGACTTTTTAGAAAGTGTTTTATAATAATCCAAAGGGAGTTTGAAACACTATGAGATGGAGAAGAAGAGCTGTCATGATTAGGAATCTAGCCTAGAAACAGGACAGAGACCAACGGATACAAATGAAGACAGAGAAGCAGTCAGGTGTCTGGTAAACACTTGACAAGTGACAGAGATCGAGGTGCCCAGTGGCCTCTTCGGTTCGCAGCTCCCTACCCACAAATACCAACTGGACTAAGTCATTAGACTCCAGGTGTGCAAAACAGAAGATTTTATGTGAAACAGTGTAACTTACATACATCCCATCATAAAACAGACGTAACAGCAGAATTACACCCCCAAAGGGGTCCTGAAAATCCCTACAGATTGTTCCCCTGAAGATATTTAAACCACTGTGATGTGTTGGCTTAAAAGTGTCCTCAAGAGGGGCACGGGGCTGGGGTCACCAGGAAGGATATGAGAAATCAAACAAAGGCTGCCATGTCCCTGCAGAAACCCTGATGTGCTCTCAAGAGAGGACCAGGCATAGTTTTGGTCATCCCTCCTGAGGACGGTTAGAGGAGATCAAGAAACTGTCCAGAGAAAGCCAATCAAAACCATCACGGGAGCGGCAGCGGCGGCGAGAGTGCTGACAATGACAGAGAATCCGCCACCCGCCAGGCAGTAGTCCAAGTGCTTTTCGTGTGTTAAATCATTTGTTCTCTCAAACACCCCGTGAGGAAGGTACTGCTATTGACCCCATTGGAGAGATGAGGAAACCAAGACATCAGAGCTTGTCTAAGTCACGGAGCTAGTATCTGCACCCAGGTCACGTGGTGCCAGATTCCAGACACTGAACGGAGGCTACTTCCTACCCCCGTGACACTGACCAGAACGCCATGCTGTTCCCCGGGAGCAAAGACTAACGGTAACGTATGTGGGTCAATGAAACCAAGTCAGGGCCTGATGGGGAAATACGTCATGGCCTTTCTAACAAATTGCAGATGATGGAAGTTAGGATAAAGTAAATTTCAGATAACTAAAAAATACTGCTTCGCACAGCAGGAAGTACATGGTAATATTTTATTTTCCCCAAGGAGAACTGAGGCCACGTATTCCAATAGACTCAAAACGAGGGTTGGCCCTCGGTAACGTGTTAATGAGGGAACAGGGTTTGTTTTGAGCGCTTGGTCCTTTCTGGTGTGAGGTGACAGGACTGCGAGGCCTGCTTGCTCGGGCATGTCCTTGGATATTTCTCCTAGAAGCAGGCTAGGGCCCTGAAGAAACGCGGGGCTCCCCTGTCCGGTCTCGCTGCCCTTCCTGCGCCTTGGGTCTCCTGCCCTCTCCTAGCCAACCTCATCTCTACGCTCCAGCCGGGAAAGGACCCGGTCTGGGTGTGGGCAGCAGCTCGCAGTCGGAAGTAACAGGACGTGCTCGCCAAATAATTCCGCGGGGCCGGGACCCACGTCAGCTGTAGCAGTCCTGTGCTGGGTTAGTGGTGGCCTCACAGTAGGGCCCAGCCTTACAATGACGGCTCCACTGTGTTCTCTCCGCTCCTTCCTCTGGGGAAAGCCAGTACAGTCTGGGGAGGTCATGGTGGTCTCCGGGAAGAATGACAACCGTAATTGTAGGCCTGGGCATCTGACCTCTGCCCCTTTTCTCCACTACACTTCGAATGCCTCCAGTTCCCCACACCAACCACCCCTGGAGGACCTGAGAGAACACCACAAAGCACAGGAAGCAATTCCGGCTGCCAGCTCACTGGGCAACGCAGGGGCCCAGGGGTGAACCGGTTTTACTTCAAGTGCCTGCTGACCTGGCAGCTCTGGGCAACAAAGTACCCCACCTGGTGTGCGCCCAGGGAGGAGGCCTTGGGCACTGCTCTGGGACAGCGGGTGTTGCAGGGTGTGAAAGAGAAAAATAAAGAGTTTGGTAACCAGGCTTGGTGAACGGATCCCCGGTGGCAGGAGGCAAAGGCGCTGAAATATTAACTATTATTGCGTTGTTCAGTTTCAAGGGACTAAAGAGATACACACGCTGACTCTTGAGCACAGGCCCTTCAAAGGAAATGAGCCACTCCGCCAGCTACGGGCGTTTCGCACACGCGCTGGGGTTGGGAACAGAGGGGACCTCTGCTTTACTCACCTACGCAGTTATCGCACAGGCTACAGTGAGAGGCACGAGGGGGCCGGAAAATCTTGCAGGTGAAACAATATTTCAGTTTCACAGTCTGCCCATTGATGATGATTTCTTTGGTTCTGGGAGGTGGGCGGTACCCCCCTGAACTGGCTCCGTTGGCGATATCTGTGGAGAAAAGAAGAAAAAGAGCACACGCCCTTAATAGACCACTTAACCTCTGCAGCCCCTGCACAAGGGGGTCTGGGGTGCCTTTCTGGGAGGCTCCTGACACTGGTCACACAAACGCACTGGGGCCCAGACGGCTGGCTGTCCCACATCCAGCTCCTTGCCAGGGCTTGGGGCCGTGCTTACTAGTCCACGCAGGTGGGCGTGGCCACCAGAGTGCTCTCTGGCCAGTAGGGTGCGAGCACATGTTGCACCGCCCATTGGGTGGGAACCTCCTCTGACCTCCACCTACTCTCTCCCCTCCTGCCCTGGGGTCACCTTGAAGACACAAACTGGGGGCCCTGAATGACCCACCTCGCACAGGAATAAGGTCCCTGACATGTCTTCACTAGGCCATACTGTTACATGGGCACCAAATTCCTCATGTTAACTCTCTGAAGGTGTGGTTTCACCTGTTACAGTAGCCAGCATGGCCCTAAGTAATGCTGTGGGGATGGGTTATGACAGGGATATTTTCATCCAGGGTGTACTCCAAATCGAGCTCAAACATCTCTCCACTTTGCCCACTGGCTCCTCAAAAATACCAAGGATTGGATGGGGGCAATATAGATCTAAATATATTAAGCGTATATTTTAAAAAATAATTTCTATATTTTGTTTGTTGTCTGACCTTTTTTTTTTAAAATCAGTTTTTTAAATGTTTAAGAAAATACAAATATGTCTAATTTTCAAGTTTCATGTTATCTTAAAGCCTGGTTCTCATCCCTGAGTTCATATTGGAATCACCCAAGGAGCTTTTATTTAATATTTACTTATTTTTTAAAGTAATTTTTCTTTATTGATTTTAGAGAGAGAGGAAGGGAGAGAGAGAGAGAGATAGAAACATCAATGAGAGGGAACGTCCACGGGCCGCCTCCTGCATGCCCCGCACTGGGGACTGGGCCCAAAGCCTAGGTATGTACCCTGACCGGGAATCGAACCAGTGATCCCTTGGTGCTCAATGGGTCAATGCTCAACCACTGAGCCACACTGGCCGGGCAGGGAGCTTCTAAAAGTCCCCTAATGGACCCTTCCCCAGACCCACTAAATCAGTCACTGGGGTGACTGCAGGGGTTGCAGGGTGGAGAGCGCCTGCCCTACAGGAAGCTAAAACACCCATGTTCGCTCCCTGTGGACCCTCCCAGTCTTGGGAGGTTGCCAGAAAGAGCTGGGGCAACCAGCTGTGTAGTCAGGACAGGCCACAGGTGGGTGGCGAACAGCAAGAACACCTGTGCCGCAGGCAGGACTCTGGCGGGAAGCAGGCAGAGCAGGCCCTGCTGGCGGGAGGTCTCGGGAACCTTCCTGGTGTTCCCCCAAACAGAGCTGGTGCATTCCAGGTGGCTGTTCATTTCAATGCACACGCACTTAAGGGTACTCTGTCAGACAGCGACAACTGCAGCATGCTTCTGGTAAATTCCAAAGTGGCAGGAAGGAGTCCTGGCATCCACTCAGACCCCCACAAACTCAACCCGGGCAGGAGGAACGAGGAGAGCTTTCAAAACTCTGATACTCAGTCTGGCCCTCAGAGATTCTGATTTTGCTGCTGAGGGACAGTCTGGCACCGGGGTTTCAACGGCTCCCCAGGAGTGGGACTCTGCAGCCAGTGTTGAGGTCCACTGACTGCTGCAGGGCCTGTCACTCCAGGTGTGACCAGGCAGCACCTGCTCACACAGAGAAGCAGGTTCTGGGCCCCGCCCCTAAACTAGTGACGGAGAGTCTGCGCTCGCCAAGATCCCCTGGGGTTTGGGCCCGTGGAAGTCTGAGGACCCTGCTCCCCGTCCACACATCACGCTGGCCCCTTACTCTCACACTCTTCTTTGTTCTGCACCACATACACCCCGGCATGTTTTGCTCACACAAAGTGCTTCACAAATAACTCCCAGCCACTCAAGCGTCTTTCCAGGGAGAACTTGGTGATTTGGTATCTGCAGAGTGGCCCCCCCCCCCCCAAGCAGGGCTGCACTCACTCACTGACAGAACCCAACCCACACGTGATGATTTCAGGCCCCTCCACTTCACCCCAACCTTCTTTAAGAAGCTCTCAGAGCCCTGCAACCTGCCCCTAGCCCTTTAGCCTACGGCTTTGGCATTGGTGAAAACACCAACCCCACTGGTAGGGGGAACATCCTGAGCGATCACTCTTCGTGGGAAAGTCAAGTTCCACAGGCAGGTTTGCGGAGTGGAGCAGGGAGAGCTGAGGAAGCTCTGGGGAGAGAAGGCAGTATGGAGAGCAGGCAAGTGGAAATGAGGAGCAGACTTCTCTCTGCCTCCGTGAGGACAGACAACCCTTCTACTCAGGGTGACTGAACAGCTTGGAGCCATCCCAAGGACTCTGGGTGGCCTGGCCGAGCAGGACTCCCTCTTTTGGCATGTGCCCCACCTGCCTGGCACCCTGGGTGGCTGCCCCGGAACGGCGCTAAATGCAGCGGGCATCTGGAGAGGCACTGAGCTCCCAAAGCACGTACACGGGGAAGAGGGAGGATGTCCACCGATTCCATAATGAGGAGAAAAGAAAGACACGACAGGGCTGTGTACTTCCCTGAGCACCGGGGTAAAAGAACTGGCTTTGAACACATCAAAGATAAGGTCAGATCACTACCGGTGCCAACCGGGTGCCACTGAGGCCTAAATTAATTATGACCTGGTGCCTCGCTAGCCTTATGTCAGCTGTGAAATCTACTGGGTCTGTTCAGCTCTTGCAAACATGGGTGGGAAAACTAGAAAGTCAGATGCAGGTTTAAAAATAATCGGAACCCAATCAATAACACTTGGGTTAATATAATCAGAACGTTTAAAAACTAATTTATCAAGGACATGTTTAAAAAGCAGGAATGACCAACTAACTCACACTAGAATGACTACTAAAAAGTCTAGTTCTGCTTGGTCATGACTTGAAAGAGTATTTGCTAACATTCCTTAAGACAAACTCTAGTGATCTCATAGTTCCAAAGTGCATTTTCAAAAGATTAAATCTTTGATATAAAGTGAGCTGAAACCCAGCTGGTGGGGCTCAGTGGATTGAGCATTGTCCCATGGACTGAGAGGTCCTGGTTCGATTCCCAGTCAGGGCACGTGCCCGGAGTTGCAGGCTCGATCCCCAGTAGGGGGCGTGCAAGAAGCAGCCGATTGATGTATCTCTCTCACATGGATGTTTCTCTCTCCCCCTTCCTCTCTTTCTGAAAAAAATCAATAAAAAAAGAGTAAAGTGAGCTGAAGGCCAGAATTCAACAGACATGGCAAACTGATGCTTAAGAATTGAACTAAAACCCAAAACTCCGTGACTAATATTTGGAGAGCTCTTTGTGTTCAATGGAAGAACAGGAAGACATGCATTCAGGGCCCGGCTGTGCCATCATTATGTGTTTAAAGGACCACAAAACTGAAAAAAAAAAAAAAAAAGTCAATTGATATTTATAACGTATTTACTATAAAGCAAAATATCGTGCCAGAAGGACCCATAAATGAGCAAACAGATGTCTGGGGAGGGGTGAGCGAGGGCTCCTGTGGGGTGTTTGACCAGGTGGGTCTCCTGGTGTCCCCTCCTTCTGAGCGCATGTCTGATGAAGAAATGTGGGCTCCGCTGAGGTGCAGCAAGTCTGAGCAGCCGACCCCTCTCTTCTGGCCGCACAGTCCTACCCAGAGTCGGAGCACAACCTCCCTGCGTCCCTAACAGGTGATGTGCTGCATACGCACAGGCATCTTGGCAGGACACCTCCCCGGGGCCTTCCCCCCTGCTCTCTGTGGAGGTAGCCCATCCTTTAGGTCCAGCTCCAGCCTCTCCGTGGACCACTCCGCCAGCAGTGGCTTATTTCCTCCTTCGGGCTGTTCCCGTGCGTAGCTCATTTACTTATCCAGCCAGTAGCTCTGGATTGTGCCATTAGGTGCCAGCGCTGTGCTGGGGTGGGGAGGGGGGTGGGGATGCAGCAGGAACTAAACAGACTTTTCTCTGCTGGCGGTGTTCACAGGCCGGAGGGAAGACCGGCCCCTCTGGTGGGCATCCCGTACCAGGAATGATCTGTGTCTTCCTCCAGACCCTGCCTGAGGGCCGGGCCGGGCCTGACCCACTGCCATGTTCGCAGTGTCTAGCACATAGTAGGTCCTCAAGAACTGCCTGCTGAATGGAAGGCCAACTGTCCTGGCAGGAAGGGAGCAAGGATCTGGGATGCTCAGGGCTGGGGTCCCCACTCCTGCACGCCCACCTGTCAGTCACACTGCCCAGTGACTCTGCCCTCTCCAGACACGCCTGTCTCAGGGTCCTTCTGAGGCTGATGCTCCCCTCAGACGTGTCCACAGATGCTGCTGGCGCAGGGACCCACCTCACACAGCTAGTCACAGCCTCGGGGCAACCAAAGTTGCAGTTTCCTTCACATGATAAATTCAACAGCCACCCTGGACCAACGGCTTCCAGACAGGCCCGCGTCCAGGACACGTGGGGATAATGGGGCCGTAAGTCCAGGGCTTCATATACCCACGAGGACAAAAGAAGTGTCTCTTTAAGGCTCAGACTGACGCCAGTGGCCTTCACGCAATCTGCCCCTCACCCTGGGGTGACCAGCAAGCGCCCCTGGCCCTGCTGGGCGCAGAAGGTGGCATTCCCGCTCTAATCCCGAACCACTTGGGCTTTTGCTTTTGGTTTTTGTTGTCGGCAACAATTCTGCCTCTGCTCCTGAGGGCTGCTCTCTGCGGTTTAAATGCAGCTGCTGAAAAGGGTGATTGGAGCCTGTGAGAGCTTATGGCCAGTGGACACTAGGATTTGAGGGGGGCTTTAAGAGTTCTGCACGGTCACACGAGTCAGTTTTTTTCAAGGACAATTTTATACACGAGCATTTCAAAAGAAAACTTAAAAGCTTAAACTGGCCTTTTCCTTCATAAAGCCCCCCTGCCCACCCCGAGCTACTGAGAGTTGAAGCGGAAACAGCAGCGCGGTCAGCCGACGGGCAAAGGGGCAGGCAGGGCGCTGG